ATTTACTGCTTGCAAACCAGTGATGGTAAGATGATGTCATGGGGTAGGACTGGATAAGTCTGACTTCTTCCTACTCCATTCAAGCATGTACTAGGTATAAGCAAATTGATATTGGATTAGCATTTGTTGGATATGTGTAAAATTATGTGTGTTGACATATCAACTGTCTTTACATGCTTGAAAGAATAAATCAAATCAAATGTAGCAGGAGATCATTTAATGACATTGTAGTATAATCCCTCATTATTCACAATGTTCCAATCTCTTCAGCATCGCTGATCTGACAGATCTAATCTTTGTTTGCATTAGTCTGTCTAGGCATTAAGGCATTATTATTATTATTATTATTATTATTATTGCAGTCAAGCAAATCCTGCATACAGAGCCATTATTTTATTATATCTGCTTTACATACAATATGTCACATAAGACAATCTTGTATTATAGTCTGAAAATATTTATCATAGATATTTGGACAACATTGAATAAACAGGATTTAAATGCAATATATAGAAACAGAGAAATAATTATTTACTTTATGTTTTCAAGCCTGACTTTGTATTCGACCACACCTACACTAATACTGTATGTACAGGAAAACAGCTTGTGTAGGCACAGTAGAAATATGTTGAATATTTCTGAAATTTAATTCAGTTTTTCAAAATGAAGAGTGTATGTAAACATGCGTGTGTGATTTTTCAGTTTCCACCTTTTGATAAATGTTGTTGAAGGGATTAACAGGAACATTTTTGGCTTTGTTGTATGTAAGCACATGTAAGTATTATTTAAGGTTACGTGTGTCATATGTAAATATAGTGTTGTCTTGATTTTTACTGTTTCTAATTTTACATTTATAAATACAGAGAAAATGATTTCTTTCCAGTTTCCACTTTTATCTTAGTTTTCATGATTAACGTTTGTGTACCTGTGTACAGATTACCAGGTGGTGATCAACCTGAATCATGAGGGGAGCTGTGATCATCAGCAAAGAAGTTAGAGGAGAGTCCTGTACCATGTGGAATACCTCTTTGTTGTTTGACCCGCCTACAGGAAACATCAATCAGCTGCCCCTCGCGCTCAAGCTCATAATCATAAAGATTACTTTGGGAGCTCACAGTCACAGAAGAAAATGCATGTCATGATCCTGTGCTAAGTAAACAGATTATTTATATTTTAACTACCCTGTGAAAAAAAGCACAAATCAACTTTCATTCTGCTTTTGTGTGCAACAGAACCAGATCCTTTCTGAGGGCAAAGTTCTTGGTCGAGTCCTCATTGGAACTGAAGCTGCAGATGCAGGGCGAGCTCACTGGCGGGAAATGTGCAGCCTTGCAGGTAGAGCAGGCACGCTAGCACACTGTCCAACCAGAACAACTAAAGAGCTCTGACACTTCTGTGCTGTGACCAGTGAACCACGTGTAACCTACTGCATGAACTCAGTGGGGAATAAGATTTCACATGGAGCATGCACAGCTGATGTTTAGCTAGTGTATTATCATAACCCATCTATGTAACAAGAAACAATGAGTCTTCAAAATGCACCTCATTTGTTTCCTCCCTCCTCTTCATCTTCATCAGGACTGCAGATATCTACAAGCTCAGCCAGGAATATTCCATCAGGAAAGAGGTAACAAGGTGTCTGCTGCAGGTTAAACTCCTCTGAACAGTGAGATGGGTTTGGCCCTTCAACATTAGAAGACTTTGATAGTTTTTCTGTAGTTGTGTGAAGGTCCTGAATTGGCTGCTTGAACCTTATGACTTAATAAAAAGAAAAAGAGGAACACAACAAAATTCATACTTCCAAATAGCAAGAAGAATGTAAGAATGTTATATCTGTTGGTAGAAAGCAAAAGGAGTTAAAGAAGACAGATGAATTCAAACCAGGGACCTATCCACCGATGAAGATTGCCAATATTGCTAAAAGTAGCTTTATTAAATAATATGCTCTAGATTTATTAGGGGATTTTTAGTTTTGGCCATTTGTGGATATATCCCTGTTCAAGAAAAAAGAAAAAATCCTGTAGTCTAAACACATCAGATCACAGCACACACATCTATACTACTGATTACACTGATTTATGCACAGCATCACCTTGGAGCTGATTCTCATTTTCAACCTTCAGTTCGCTGGCTCCTGCACACATAGCAGACATCTGGCAGAGAAGAGATATTATTTCAGATTTCCACCTTGTGTTGGCAGGTGCTGTGGGTCTCCTTTGTACACATTTTCTGTATTTTTTTTTTTTTCAGTTCAACACGTCCATGTATATTTTTTACTATATTTCACAGTGTTCATTTATTTCAATTTTAATTAATTCATCACTCAACACACCTGCTGGTTCACAGGTGGTTAAACCAATAAATATGTATATTTGGTACTCTGAGCAGGTTTTAGTGAGCGTACCTTGAGCTCCGGAGCAGAAATCCTAATTTGAGCCTCAGTTTTTTCCATCTCTCTCAGAATCATCATAGCTTCTTCCCTAACATGGTCAAAATGAAAACCTGTTGCATACTCAAGTCTTTAAAACAAATCATAATTCATACATTTGTTTTTAAAGAAACCTTACTTTTGCATCAGTTCTTTCTCTTTTTCTGCAAGTTTGTGCTTCAGCCTTTGAACCTCACTGCTTTCCATACACACCTATTGATTAGGAAATTAACTGTCAACATTCTACACACAAAATATTTCCTCTAAAAAGACATCAATGTATAACATACGTGATTTCATTTTCACTTAACATTTTTTCACTGTATATTCAAATACTGAAAATTCATTTTGGTGAGGGAGGAATATCCTGTTACCTGAGTAGATTTGTTTTGGCTGCTGCGGCAGTCTGATGATGGCTCCCATAACAAAGAGGATTCAGATAAGCTGATAAACAGAATACATAATAAAGAGGCAGATCACAGAATTTCATTTCCAGCATTTGCTGACAGTGCATTTTGTTCATGAACGTTCACTCACTCTGTTTCTGTCTCTTTGTCCTGAATCCTCACAGCTTCACTGCCTGCAAATAAAAGGTCACAGCAGTTTAACACCCTCTTACATTGAGAGAGTAACACTTATTTCTGGAGTACCTGCACTAGTGGATTATTAATCTATTTACAGTTAATGACAGCTGAGAAGTACTTTCATATTTACCTTTATCTTTATATCTGTGAAGCAGTGCTTGACTTCTGCTTCTTTCCCACTTCAGCTCTTGTTGGCATGCATCAAGCTCAGCCCTCAGCAGTGATTCAGACTCTTTCTATTTGATAAAATGTTTAGCTATATAACTCATATAAACTCAGTGCCCTGTTCAATTCTAGTGTAGTGTAGCTGTTCTGTAGTAAAGTCTACTTCTATGACACCTGTAATGCTTTTTGTCATGGAGTTTAGTTTATGTTTTATCACTGAGGTCACATGTGGTGCTGTTTTACTGGACAGTATTTTATTGAGAGTTGTTTCTAGTATTCTGCACACCACATGTACTGTATATGGGTTGGATAAAACATTAGAAACATCTCCTAATATAATGTAGCCTGGTAGATCACCACCTTTAACTGCGATCCCAGTAATAAAATTGGAGTTAAAAACATAATAAACTTCATAAAGATATACTTCATACTGGATTGCAATATCCGGTGAGGTTTACTTAATAACCTTGCCACTGTATGTCTACTATGTCTATAAAAATAAGCTTACCTCAGTGTCTTAATAGAGGAAAAATTTTTCAAGCACCAGCTCTTCGGTTGTACAGTACCTTACCTTGTTTTCCATCAGCAGCTTCTCTATACTGGCTTTGTGTTGAAGCAGATAATCAATTTGTTCTCTAAGCAGGATAATATAAAATAACAGAGCAAGCAGTGTGTTATTTAAACAAATATTGCTTGGTGGATTTGATGATTTACAGTTTACACTTATATTCACTCACTTGTCTTTTTGGCCCATTTTCTTAAGCTTTTTAATTTCAGCTGCCAGATGTTCAACTTCCAATTGGAGCTGAAATGAATGGATTTTTACAAGCACTGTAAATGCTCTGTTGTACAATAGTAGACTAAAATAATTCTTCACATGAGTGGCAGAAGCCTTACTTCATTTATGGAGTTGTTCTTCCTGAGTTCCTCTAACTCATCTTGTGTGGACTGCAGGTTCAGAGCCACCTTTTGCCATTTCTCAGTCAAATGAGAGGCCACAACTTTTAGTTCCTCAATGTTTTGGACTCTAATTTTGTCTTGTTTTTGATACTCTTCCACCTGAAGGTGTAGCTTCTCCTCTTTCTCAAGAACCTTAGCCTCCAAACACAAACACTGATCCTGTACTTTCTGTTTGTCTAACTGCAAAACTTCCATACAATCCCTGCAGAAATCATTTGAGGGTTTCATTGTATATTACTTTGCATAGCTGATAATAAAAGACTGATCTTCAGTATATTGAAGAAAAGTGTGTGTTTACCATCGCACCTGAGCTGACAGCACTTCTCCTTCATCACATGTCTATTTTCAATCATTTTGTTAAGCGGTCCCTCTTTTTCTCTGATCATCTGAGAGTGTTTTGTCTCCAGATCTGTGATCGGTTTGGAGCTGATGATCCTCTCTGCTGTTATCTCCTGTATCTGAGACTGTAATACTTCCAGCCTCTGCTTCATCATTTCAAGCTGTGTCATCTTTTCATTTACCTGGTGTAAAGACACAATGGGAATAATCTGATAAAGAATTACAAAAAATGAAACTTAACAAATATAAGTCTACTTCAACCTCTTTGAGAGCCTTTGATTCTTCCTTCATCACTGCAGTTTCCTGGTCCTGTTTGTTGCTGTGAGACTCTGCATTAAGCAGATGATCATGATGCTCACAGACCAGTGAACCTGGCTGGGTCCTCTCCAGGTGCAATTCTGGAATCTGGGCCCTCCAGCGCAGACCTGTTTTCTCCTATACCAGGCACATGCAATAAACAAACAAACAAAGAAATACGTGACAACATTTCAATCGAACATTCCTCATAATACTCATAATATACAGATTACAAATGATACCTGGTTCAGGCCATCTTTGTCACACAAAGCCTCTGCTAGTTTGGCCTTCAGTTCTTTTATATTACCCTCCAGCTTTAGCACCTGAGTTGACAAGATGGCTTTCTCCTGACAAAAATTAGAAAGACAATTTTTACGGTGTAATGGACAAGGTAATATTAAATCACAGACAGGTAACTGACCAGACATGCTTGGCTAATCTTGTTGTTAGCTTCACTCAGCTGTTCTTGCACTTCAGAGTGATTCTGTGCAGTGTGACTGAGTCTCTGGTTCAGCTCTTCTATATGATTCAACAACTTGTTCTGTGTCTAAGTACAAAGACATGAAAATGGTAGTACAGCTGGCTATTGCAGTATAACTTTACATTTCTTTAAAACAAATCAGTTTTGCACTTTTTATATTTCCCTCATATATTTTAAGCTGACCTCTGATGAAGTCTGGAGTTGTTGGAGTGCCTGTTGTCGCTCTTCCTCTTGTGTTTTTGCTCTTGTCTCAGCCGCTCTCAGAGCCTCTATCAGTTTACACATCTCTGTGTCAGCCTTCAGGTTCTCCTTAATCAACAACACACATAAAAGCAATTTGTGGCAAACAGGATACAAATCCGCAAAATAAAAATCTATTTTCATAATACCCAAAGCTCACACACATGTCTGTTATAGTTTTCTGGCTCTCTGTTAATGTTCTACTAAGTGAGGCAGGAGTTCTTTCGGCTAGTTGATCAGTGCTTCCTCTGTCCAAAGCAGACCTAATTTGCAGCAAGACCTTCTCCAGCTTCAGGATCCTTCTGAGAGAGTTTCACATGAGGAATGTCAATGTTTTCTGCTGTCATTCAAATGTTCCTTTTCACTTCTTTTTCCGCAGTTACTTTTCATTGAGCTCTCTATGCTGTTGACTCTCTTCAAACTGGCATAATTCATCTGCCTCCTTCACCTGCTCAACAGTGCCAAGTTAGTCAGTGCTAGTTAATATTATGCTGTGTGCAAGTGGAATACATACCAAAAAGATCTACTTGTTACTTTCCACAACTCCCTCACCTTATCCCTCATATCAAGCAGCTGTGCAGTAGTTAGGCTGTGGCCTAGTTGTACATCTCTGGTCCTCATCCAATCCAGCTGAGTGTCTAGACGCTCATGAGGATTCTGCAGCCAGCTACATTCACCCCAGGTAGCTTGCAATTCAGCCCCCGGAGATGGAGGAAAGGATTGTGTAGCACCATCAGATGCCAGATAGGACAATGACTGCCACCTCCTTTGACATGAATCTTTCTGTCTGAACCCACCAGTGCTTCTGGATGTGTTGGAATACATATTGTATATTAGCCAAGATGTATTATCCCACCCTTACTTAAAATGCTTATTAATGTGTCTCTGTTGTTTCAAAATGGTATACAATTTCCTCTAACCTTGTTTTGACTTTGGACAGAAACCCTGTTCCAGAGACAGATGCCATACCACACCATGCTGAGGCCTAAAAGTTAAAAAACATTTTTTAAAATCAACTAGATTTTGATTATTCTGCCACAAAAACAGAGCATATCTGGGTCTTACCTGGGCTGTAAAACAAGATTTGGCTTTCCACTTGTTGAAGTCCGTTAGAGAAAATGAACTTGAACTTCTGCATGGGGCTCTAAACATCTTGAAGTATGTTTCTTAAACCCAAGCTATTCTGTACTTTGTATGGGAGCGGCAACACCCCTCAACTCCCCACGTTTGCCCAAGTGATGAAGACAGATTTTTTCACGGAGGTGGCAGCTTGAGGTATGTGGTTATTCTTGGCCCATTTTTTTTCCAGTGCTTGCTTGATGGTAAATAACTAGTTTTAACACTGCACAGATATTACAGTGCATCTGTGATCTACACTGGTTATTTTTAGACTTATTTATTATATCCTTTAAATACAAGTATTTCTAGTCAGAGTACTATGGCATATTATGACTACCAGTTTCTGTAGTCCATGCTGAATGACACTTTATCTTACCTTGCTGCAGAAAGCCCTCTCTTTTCCACTGAGAGTCCCGACGTGTTCTGGTGTAGGCCTCACACAGCTTTGATTTCAAGCTATTCAGTGTACAGCCCTTGAACTGAGTATCCATGGTAACTTGTGTATACAGGATGCAGTTGTTGGGTGGGTGTGTCATGTGCTAACACTTCTGGGATAGTCTCCACATGATGTCACTCTGTCTATGGACTGGCTGTTTGCTGACATGAGTTGTTAGGAACATTTCATTAACAATTATCATAACACACGTACATAGTTTTAATCTGATTAATTTTTATGATAGTAAATGTGTTGTGACCGGTTGATTGCCTTTAGGCAGGCACACACACACACACACACAGAATTGCTTTAGAATTATGCTGTCAGATAAGTACTTTTTAAAGGATTTTATTTTAGCTCCAGAGATAAGCAAGCATGTGGAGAATTTGCAGCTAGTATAATATATATATACATGCTAATACTTTACGGATCAGTGTGAAATATTGCATGCTACTGACTAAATCCTTAATTGTTAACACTGCTCTATCTTTCCCAACTACTGCACATCCCAGTTATTTCTCAAATAGTCATACGCATTGTATATGACTCAGCCTTTGAAAATAACCGAAGCTACAACTTCTGATAATATGGAAATTGACGTTTGTCCGATTTCACTAACTTGGGTAGTCCCTGTGTACAAATCGTTAGAATTTACAGTTCACAAGCCTAAGCTCTTATTTTGATGCGGTCTCCCGGAAGTCGGAAGTGTTAATAGAAGCTAGCATTTTAGCCGTTGAAGGTTTTTGGCCATTGAAGAAGCTAACAAATCACTGAGGCTAACAGGTTAAGAGAGAACTTATTTTACTTTCAAGACTTGACATTACATTTTATTATTTGTGTTCTTTAAAAGAGTCCGCTTTGCATTAATTCCAAAAAGGTGCAGCGCTTCAACGCCAAGCATTCAGCGTTTGCCTCTTGAAATTAACGCTGTTAGTAATTTAGCTAGCTAGCTAGATAACAGGCCAATGCTAACGCTAGTCAGTTAGCATAATCATTAGCTTATATTCGAGGAGTTAGAATTTCTGATATACTACTACTAGAAAGTTTTCTTAATTTAATACGAAGTTTGTGGGCAACGTTACTACAAACATCCTCTGGCATGTAACGTTAAATTAAAGCGTGTTGTCTTCCACATTGTGCAGACATGGCTGCAGATTGGTTGGGTAGTTTGGTGTCAATTAACTGTGGCCCAACACTTGGAGTTTATCAAGGAGAGGTATCGTCCGTGGACCAGTCTAGCCAAACTATCTCCTTAAGACAACCTTTCCATAATGGAATCAAGTGCCCTGTTCCCGAGGTCACATTCAGGTAAAACTCGGAACAAAATTGTTTACCACATGGCTCTTTCGTTAGCAGGTTAGGCTTGTTTCTTTATGTTTCTAAAACGATTGTGATTTTCTTCGGCAGTGCCATTGACATAAAGGAACTAAAGATTTTAAATATTAAAACTGGCAATGCTAGGACCACCTCGTCTGCACCTACAAAGGTAAATAGCACTCCACTTGCAGTCCCAAAGGATGACCCCAGATCTGTTGAGAAGTTAAACTCTCCCCAGCACTGCTCCAAAAGTTATGGGGACCGACATCTGGATATACCTGGCCAGCCTAAAGGATTCCGTCGAAGGCACAACTCTTGTAAGTGCAGTGGAGTACAAATGGAGCAGAATAAAACAGATTATTACTGCTGTAGCATAGAGGCAAACTGTGTATTTATTGTCCCATCAGGGTCGTCAAGTAGTCGAGGGGTAAACCAAGTGACACCGAAAAAGAACGGGGTGAAGAATGGTCAGATGAAGCACAGAGATGATGAGTGTTTTGGGGATGGTGTGGATGATGGTTTGGACACAGACTTTGATTTTGAAGGAAACTTGGCTCTTTTTGACAAAGCAGCAGTTTTCTCAGAGATCGACATATCAGAGCGCCGTAACGGTGCAAGGTCACGTGGGACGCCACAAGACCAGACGCCCTCACGGTACAGACACGATGAAAACATCCTGGAGGCTAAACCCATTGTGTACAGGCAGATTACTGTTCCACAGCCTGGAGCCAAAGAATACTGCACTGGTAAGATTGTTACACTGTAATGAAATAAATAGTGGCATGGGCAAATGAAGTAGACTCTTAAATAGGACTGCAGCTAACTGTTTATATTGTTTATTAATTTTTGATCATGTTTTTCAGTTAATTGTTTGGTCAATAATATATCAGAGGCTAGTGAAACTATCAATTCAGTATTCAATTCTTTGCTCAGTTTACTGTCATAGATGACTGTGGAAACTAGAAAACATTCCTATTTGAGAAGCTGAAGCCAGAGAATGTTGACAGTTTTGTGAACACTGGCTCAAAACAATTGCCCGATTAAAATAGTAAAATACCTACTTGATAATTAATTTTCAGTCTGTCACACAATTAATCTTTTCTGCTACAATGTTAAATACTTCTGTCCTTTTTCTGTACAGATTCTGGGCTTGTTGTACCCAGTATAACCTATGAACTACACAAGCGTCTGTTGTCAGTCGCAGAGCGTCATGGTCTCTCACTGGAGCGAAGACTTGAAATGACTGGAATATGTGCCAGTCAGATGGCACTTACATTGCTGGGTGGTCCCAACAGGTAAGTATGTAGTGATTGGTTTAGCACAGATGTCAAATATCTAATCAGCTTAGTAGAAATAGCAGATAAGTGTCTGAAATGTGTGTTTAGCCTGCTGACACAGGGTTCTAGAGAGAATTATCAGCCAAGAATGATTTTCTTAAATAAAAACAGTGCTTAGCCATTTACAGTGGCTGAATGCTGGTCATCAACTGCAAAAATGATAAAGTGTTTGAATTCAGTTTGCTCATGATAACGGAGACATGGAAGTCCTAGTCTGAAATTAGTTATTCTACCAAGTTGACTGGTGACATGGAGACTCAAAGCATTCAATACTTAGACAAATCGAACATTATAACATTAAGGATCAAAAAATAAAACCAGATGAAATAACATTTTACAATGTTAAGCTGAGTTTTGAGGATATATATGACATATTTTCACATGTATTTATTCTATTCATAGAATTGTTTCATAATGACTCATTCCTTAAATTTAAAACCTTTTGTCTCCATACTGTTTTACCTGTGTGATTGTTTTATATGCCAGACATCAATCTACTAGCATTTTGTACTGGGAGAGCACAAAATTCATGAAATCAACTTTTTCAAAATTTTTCTTACAGATTCACTCCAAAGAATTTACACCAGCGTCCCACGGTAGCTCTGTTGTGTGGCCCTCATGTTCAGGGGGCTCAGGGCATCAGCTGTGGTCGTCACTTGGCCAATCATGAAGTGGAGGTCATCCTGTTTCTGCCCAATTTTGTTAAGATGCTTGAGTCTGTCACCAGTGAAGTCACACTGTTCAGCAAAACTGGGGGCAAACAGGTGTCAAGTATCAAAGGTGGCCATATTTCTCTACTTTTATTTAATGTGACTTTCTGTTTTCCACCTAAGTGTGTTTTTAACATTGTTAAAAATGTTAAGGCCGTATCCTCTCTGACTCCACAGACCTTCCGGACACCCCAGTGGATCTAATCATTAACTGCTTGGACTGCCACGAGAACACATTCCTGATGGATCAGCCTTGGTACCAAGCAGCTGCAGACTGGGCTAACCAGAACCGCGCACCAGTGCTCAGCTTAGACCCTCCTGTCAGTGGGCAGGGCCAGGCAGTCGAGGCCAAGTGGTCCCTCTCTCTTTGCCTCCCGCTTCCCCTGGCTGAGGGGGCTGGCAGGGTTTACCTGTGTGACATAGGTATCCCTCGCCAGGTGTTCCAGGAAGTGGGAATCAAGTACCATTCTCCTTTTGGGTGTAAGTTTGTCATCCCCCTGCACTCTGCGTAATGGGACAAATGGTTGACCCGACACAATCTTCCACCATCCTTCACCATTTGGGTTTGGACACCTTGTATTCCAGAGGTTCAGCTGTTTTTCACTTTGTTTATAATTCATCAACATGGTGTGGGACTTTTTTCTCCCACTGAAGGACCAATTCTACAAGGACTAGTGCAAATAGATGGAGAATGAAAGAGCATCAAGTTATTACAGAAAAAATAAATGCCGTAAGTATTTTTAGATACCATTGTATTTACATGATATTACAAGATCTTTGGAAGATGGGTTGTTCAAAAATACAGCTGAAGTCAAAGCTAATCAGTTCTGAAATCAATGGGACAATCAGTCTCTGACTTAAAGTAGAACTTTTCTAAATGTTTTTGCAACTCATTTTAAATCCACGTGGTCAAAAAACAGATCTGTGATACAATACAATGTTATTACATTAAATTGGATGATGTAAAATCCAGCTTAATGTCTGTGTGATACCATTACTAATGGCTTCGCTCACAGCCAGACACATGCAGCGCTTGGTGACTGTTTGATGTGTCATTAGTAACGAAATTTCATCTTAATCAGAAATTTTATCTAAGCAAATGTGGACTCTTTGTCATTTATATGAGTAATGCTGTGTTTTCAGACTATACCACTGTTGAATTGGGCAGCTACAGGGGAGAAGCCAGATAGATGTCAGCGGTTTTTGTGTCTGTGGTGAATTAGGCTGTGATGATAAGAACACGATGCCTTTAGTGATGTTCTGGAAGAAAAGGTCTTGGCAAAATTTATTTTGTTTAATATCATTTGGACTATACCAGTATCATTGAAGGTCCCAGTTCCTTAACTACAGGTCATGTTAAATATTTCTGTTGATCATTTTCAATTTCTGGCTATATAAGGCTTTTATATATTTTCTCTACAGTTTCTTGTGGTTATTTGTTTCTATTCAGTACTGTACCATTAAAAAAAAAACAACAGACTTTAAAACCTGGTTATATTATGTAATCCCCACAGTGAATGTCAGATCTCCGATAAGTTGTCAGTGCTGCATTATTGTTTTGTGGTAATGCTGTAAAAGCATAAATAAGTTTTAAAGCCTTCATTGCATCATCTGAAGAATTAGTACAGAAGTGATGTTGGATTGATTACACAACTTGAGCATCTTTCAGTAGTATGTTAAAGATTTTCATATGGAAATGAATAGAAGCCAGTGGAAGTCTGGAACAGTGGAAAAATGCATTTAACAGTAGCACAGTTTGGAGGTGGTTAGTTGTGATGTTAAATTCAAGTGAATCACTGGTATGGTCCAAACCATGGGAATGTGAATTATTATTTTTTTTTACATTTGTGTGGGCTGACAAAATTATCGAACATATGCATATGATGATGAATGAATTTTGGCATTGTTTGTTAAAGTTTGTTTTTAGGTTTCAGTTGTTTTTAAAGGATGCCTGCTTATTTATTTGTCCATGAGTTGCTTGTTTTGTGCTGTTTTCTGAGACCTTGACTGAGAGACCGAAGGCATTTCTCCTGCCAAATTTATTTGACAATGAAAGTCCAACCTGTTGCTTGTTGTTGTTTTTTGTTTGTTTGTTTGTTTTACAAGGCCATGTTAAAATTTGACATGTCCAGAACTTGGGCTGTGTGGGCCAGTCCAGAAACACTTGCTACAAGGAGGTAACAAATCAAGTTACCCTGTGGTGCATACTGTTTGGTGTGGTATTATGTCCACACACGTACAGTACTTAATATCTCAGGAGAATGAAAACATACTTTTTATATTTGTTGTTTTCCCTGTGCCCTCTACTCTACATGGTTCATGCACAGATTTGGTGAAAATTACTTTCATTCACTAAGTTTTTTTTTTTTTTTTTTTTTGGAAAGGGGGTGTTTGGCTTGTTTTTGTGTGCTTCTGTCACATCTGTTAAAACATGTCTGGCTTGGAAACGTCAGCCACATTTTTTTCTTTTAATGTTGACTTAAAACGAGCTTTGTTTGCCTTTGGCCGCCAGGGGGCCATTAAACCACACTTGATGTGGGTCTTCCTTATTCCTTATTTCCTCAGTGAATTGTGTTATTTCTATATAAAATTTTTACAGTTTGAGATTGTGTGGTGACTGACCACACACTGTCAGGAAAGCACAATTCTTGTTAAAGCAAATTCTGCTTCTTGAAATGAATCACACTAGTTTGTATGTTTCAGATCTTGCAGTTGGTGTTTAGTCCATGCAGGGTCGGTTGTTGTTCAGCCAAACCGCACTAATCAGCCAGTGGGAGCTTTTGTCTAGACAGGATAAGAGTTTCCTTTTGGGATCAGAGTTCACAGTCATTAGTCATGTGCAGAAGTCCTGAGCAGTCTTGTCCTGTCATATCTGGAGTATGAAACAATTAAAAAAAGCTTTCACCACAGTTTTTGTGTGTGTGTTGGACTTGTGAATACTGCTTCCTTGATGATCATTCACCAACTTGACTGAAGCGGAACCACTGATCGTTTGTTCATTTCCAGGCGGACAGTTTATTATTAACGCGCATGTGCACTACGGAATCAAGGTGGGGTACAAACTTGAATGTTTGTGACGGGGTAAAGGAGTTAGGCAGCCAGCAGCGGACTCTAGTTGGTTTGAATCGGATCTAATTCATCTCAGCAGTTTTTATACCGAGCCATCACGTTTTTCTCACCCGCTAAACCTTTCTCACCGAGTCGCCGTCGAGACTGCACCGATAAGTAGGAACGTTTTTTCATCATATAAGGCCACTTTTCAAATGATGGTGACAGGAGACGCATCAACACGAGTCTTAGTTGGTTTCATTCAAGTACTTTCGGGCTGCTGAAGTTTCGGGTCACCTGAGACAGATTTCACTTCCTCATCGAGTCTCAGTGTTTTGCGTTTCGTCGGTTAATTATTCAGTGAATGGGATTTTGTCTGGTCTCGCTTAGATGAAAACGGACCCCGGGCGGTAACAAGCATCTGTTAAAACATCAAATCTCCCGGTTTTACCTTTTAAACAGGTAAGATTTTTATTGTGAAATGGAGCCTAACATAGTCTGTAAACCGTAAGTCTGTCGTTTGTGCGCCTCAATGCACACAGTCCAGATCCGATGAAATCAAATTCATCTTATCAGAGTTACGTGACAAGTACGTATAGACACAGTAGTAAAGCAATAACCTGTATCTACTTCTATAACGATGAATACAGCTGAAAGTGCTTTGCAGCAGAAACAAGTCTGATAAATGTTTTAAAGAAAGCTAGAGCTGGCCTTAGTGTTGTTATTCTTCAAACTTATGCCACTTCCTCTGGGTTGGTGCAGCTGCATCGTGCAGCTCTCCACATTGCTCTGTCACAACACGGTGCATAATGGCATCAGAACTGTTTCATCTCTTCCATTAGCCTGAGATCGGTGACAGTTACCTCAAGCTGTTACGGCTGCACTTACACAAATGGGGAGTGTCTCGCGGTTTGATGTCGCCTCTCCTCATTTTGTCTGTAAATAACAAAAAACTGCACTGAAAGCGTTATGTGTAAGAGAGGAAATGAGACCCCCCTTGGGTCTATGTCGGCGGCATGTCTCTCTGCCTAGGCCAGTTTATCGCTGGCACAGCTCCAGAGCCTTTCCCAGCAATCGCTCTTCTTTTAATTTAGTGTGACAAAACTTTAAAGAAGAATTAAGCTTGCGAAACAATATGAAACCACAGCAAAGCAGATCTGCTACCTGTAAGTTCTGCACGGCTGCACGATCAGAGATCGGCATTGCACTGCATGGTGCACAGCACTGCAGCAAGGAAGTGTCTGTAAACTGCTCAGGCATGACAGCTTTTTTTTTTTTTTTTTTGATCAGTTGCCCGCTGTGCCGTTAGTTTCAGCAGCTTCAATGTATCATATGAACTTTGGGTAGCAGTAAAATGCAAAGTTTACTGTAATGTCTTGATGCTAAATTAGAGGGGATTTCTCTGAACTAACAATCATTGGTTTTTCTCTGTCTGTTGCTCTGAAAACGACCTCGTTTTGCAGTGTTACATTTTGTTTATTTATGATAAAGTGCTATTGTAGGTGTATTGTAGTCATTTTCTTTCATGACTGTGTCAAAGAGCCTGTCGGTCATTACAGTGGTGGATTGTAGTGCAGGGCCCACCACTGGAATTGTACTTCCTCTCTTCAGTCCTACAGATAGTTGCTGCACCAGAGCCCAGCTGTTGTCCTGGAGGAAGGAGTGATTTCCTCCTCCGAGGAGAACATCTGCAGGCACAGCTGGATGAACCATTGGCATGTGCCCTTTCTTTTTCACAACATTTCTCCTTTTCCACCACTTAGTGTTTCTGTTTGTGTACCTGCCGGATGAAGGTTCAGTGGATATGAATAGAAATCCTCGTGTCCTCTTCTGTCCAACTGGCACTGCCACCTTAGTGCTGTAATGTCCCACAGCATCAAAGCAGTTGTACTGCGTCCTGAGGCTGCAGGGTCAAGATGAGAAGTTTAGAGGTTTATAGAAATGTTTCTGTGGTGGAACTGCGAGCAACTCGCAGACATCTGAAACATGACAAGATGCTAGACATTGCATTTTTCACAATCAAACCTAAAAAGATCTGGAGTCACTGTTTAGCAAGACTTTTTTTATTTTGCAAGATCTTCCATCCATCCATTCATTATCAGTACTGCTTATTCCTGAACAAGGTCATTGGGGGGCTGGAGCTAATCCCAGCTGACACTGGGCGAGAGGCGGGGTCCACCCTGGACAGGTCACCAGTCTATCACAGAGCTTTTGTAAGATCTTTCTTTTGTTAAATGTCGATCAGAAATGTAACCACAGTCATATAAATGTACAAGAGGAGAAACGATATTGCTCTCATATAATAGTAGAATAGACGTATAAAGTAGCGTAACATGGAAATTCTCAAAAGTCAAAGACCTTAAAATTGTACTACAGTAATGGAGTCATTGTACTTTGTTCAGCCACTTTTTATTTAAAGGTTACCTTGTTTTATTTTAAAAGATTTGTTTGTGGTTTGTGATCTGTATCTTTCTATAGCACCTTAGAAACCTCACTTCACTATATTATAGCAGATTTTGCAACACCGACTGTGGCATGATCAGTGTTTTCATCTCAGTGTTTGTCTGTGGCGGATTTAAACAAAAGTCGAAGAAGCAATTTCTTCATTCCTGTCCTGTCTTGCTTTGTGCAGTCACTCGCCAACTGGTTCGTACAGTTCAGTACTGTGACTGAGTTACATAAGGCAAGAGTCAAATGTCGGTTTCGTTTGAACAATAATATATTTTTGGTTTCCAAGTTTATTCAGAGTTGTACGCTGATACCTGTAGCTTTCTTTGAAATGACATAACAAACACCTTTATTTGTTGGCTACTTGTTAAATTAGGACAACAGGTTGTGCATATCCCCCACCTCCATTCACGTTGTCTGTCACAGAGGTGGTTTCCTGTTGTTCTCGTTATCTACTGTCATACTGTCATCTCCTGTAGCTGACAACCTTTCTCAGTCAGATACAGTAATTCATTGCTTGCTATCATTATGTCATGCTGTTGCTGGGCAAGGAGTAGCCTGACTTAAACTATGTTAAAAGTAGAATAACACAGCAGTAGACACAAGTTGTTGTAGTTGCAGAATAAAATGTGGAGAACATTAATATTTCCAGACCTGCAAAATTAAAGCATTGGTCCTCTTAAAGCTACTCACTGGGCAGACTGATAAAGATGAACTTATCAATGCGACAAGGGTCATTAGAAGCCCAGGGGTCAGTAGAAACTCGACTGACTCACAATGACAGCCTTGTGTGCTTCCTGAAAAGAGCAAGCTGTGGTTCCATGTAGAGCTCTCTGGAAATGGCAAGTGACTCCTTCACAGACTAAGTTCTGTCCCATTCAGTCCACTGCTGGTGGCTTACTGTTGAGATGCATTCAAAGTCCTAAAAGAGATGAATTAAAAGAGTGCTGTTGTGTGTCAGTGTTGGCCTGGTTGATCATTCCTCATTTGGTGAGATCACTCTGCTCCTTCACTAAGGACTTTGCCCAGACATATTCTGTTGCAATCCACAAATTCTGATAGCTTTACTATTTTCAGAGCACCATTTCCTGCTTCAGACTCTTACAGAAGGATTCATTTGTAGTTGGAAAATTAGATGAGATTTTTAGCTAGCATGGCTCTAGGGATGGCAATATGGGTTGGTCACTTTGGTCCAGACAGAAATACTGCAGCTCGGTAACTATTTGGATTGACAAAAGGTTTTCTGCACACATTCAAGGCCCACAGATAGTGGGTCGACAGAGTGAAATGTTTCAACAACTGTTGGATGGATTACCATACAATTTGGTGCAGACAGTCATGGTCTTTGTGAACTTTGGTGATCCCTGAGTTTTCATCTGGTGCAGTGGTTTTCAGGGGGGGGGGTCAGGATCCCCGGGACGGATAGGACAAGAGTCTAGAGATGATTAATGACGCAGGAGTGAATAAAACAAGACTTCCTACAAGCTCTGTTAGGGTGTCATATCAGAGTTATTGTTATTATGGATTTGTGATATGTATAAATAAATAGTGTTTGTGTCAAATTCCAAGTTGTGATTAAAGTAAGATTTTTCTCAAAGCCCTGATATATATATATGACATGACACTTATTAATAATAAACATGAACTGCCTGAAAATTTAAAAAAAGAAGATGGGTACCTCACATCATCCAAAGAGTTGTTTAATGTAATTAGATATGGTGTTATATTCTCACACGGCCAACTCTGTAATTATACAA